AACATCTGCTGAGTCTGGAGAACTTGCAAGACACATCCTTTCCCATGTGCTGTATATTCTATACGTCCAGCTGAATAAGTGCTATTTTTATGGATGGCAGTAAAGAAGGATAGGATATGGGGAGAGCTCATCTTCCTTTTTCAAATCAGAATTACAAACAGAGTTTAAGATAATATCCCAAAGTGACTAAAATAGTCTTTTGCACCTCAATTTCAGTGAACAATTAAAAAAACAGAACAAAAAAACCCACAAACAAACTTCAAACCACTCTACACCAAGAACAATTGGTAGAATTTACATTTGGAAAGGTGTAAAAACCTGCATTTCCTCTGTGGCAAACGCAAACTGTAAAGCAACAGGAAAAGGGGTACATATCTCCCTCAAACTTAGACATAACTCACTGACCCTGCATGATTGTTTCATATCACATATTTAAATTAATTTTACATCTTTTTCCTAGATTGTCCTTTCCGAGTCTTAACTAAATCTAACAGAAGCTTTTGAGATCAGAAATTTGACTAAAGTTTGATTTGAGCCATCTTCTCCCTGGCACAATTAAGGCAGAAGCTAGAAGTCACACCAGCAAATTTCAGGTAAGCCTCCTGCTGTGCAGGCACTCAGGGACTGAAAAGATGTTGCAAGAGCACACCCTTTGCTTGCTAAAAAAGTGCAACTTAAGGAGCGCCTAGGACCAGCATCCTCGGGCAGCTGTCACCCCTCAAACCGTAGGAGCTATAAGACAGTTTCAGCCACGGCAGGAAGGCAGAAGACACCAAAGGTGATACATCGCCCACAAGCAGCGCAATGTAGGCCAGCTAGCATTAGTGTTCCACTGATGAAGAAGTTAATACTCCTTATTTTTTCCTTATTAAGACCACAGCAAGTCCACAGACATGAAAGCTGATGAAAACCAGAACTTGTTGGTGCTAGAATTTGTTTTCTCTTGGGAAAAGGGCTTTCCTGCTAAGGATTCTTCCATTAATGCTAAAATGCAGCCATATCCTAGGCTTAAGTGCATCCTGCCATCACACCTGGCATTTGTTCAGCCAGGGAGATGTGGTTATTACCCCAGTAACACCTCCTGTTTGAAAAATGTAAAAAAATTAGTACACTTTGGAGTTAAGCCACCTCTTCCAATGTGCCATTTCATACTAAGAGAAAGCAAGCCCCATTCACTGCTTCTGCAAAAAGGGAGGCTTGCACTGTGTAACCTGTGCCATTTGGGTTGTTTTCTTACTGCTCCCAAACTACTGTATCACAGACTCAAGATGATGCCCTCTTGTTCACTCCTTTCAGTAAGTGTCAAAAAAATTGCTGTGGCTGTGACATGAAGGAAGTGTGACAGCAACCAGTGTGCTTCTGCCTCAGGAGCTCACCCTCAAAAGCCAGCTTCAGCCTGGTCTCCTTAGGCTTAACCCAGTGGTCACGGCACTGAAATTCTTTTCATACAGTTAGCAAAGCAAGCCATGGCAAATGCCACACACTCCCCGCAGCCAGAGCTGGTGGTGGAAACGTAGAGCTCCTGCTCTGATGGACAGCTTGATCCCTGATGGGCAGCTTGATCCAGTGCCCTGGCAGGTTTGTTTGCTTACAGCGTCCAGGAAGTACAGTCAACTCAGAAGCAATTCAGGCATCAAGGGCTAGATAATACCCGAACACCTCTGGTTCCTAATTCAACCCTGTAGCAACCTAGCTCGTACCCAGAGGGCTAGCCCTCATCCCAAACTACTTTTAAGCCCCATCCACAACCTGCCTTGCCTCATCTCTGTAATGCAGAGAATAAATGCTTGGGTGCATTAGCATCCCAGAAGCCTGTGGTCTCCAACAGGAGCTGGCACAACAGCAAGAGGCATCTCAAAGCAAGGAGGGGCTGTGCTCAGAAAAAGCACCTAGAAGCATACTACAGAAGCATACTTCAAACAGTGCCACTCCTGAGAGGAACAGGACACTTATGGCCAGACTGAAAGTGTTGGACAGACACTTGGAGCTGGTATATCAAATACTTTTTCATCCCATGGAGGCATACGATTTATACCCCCCTGCTAACCTCATCCCACTGCAAACAAGAAAAAAGGACTGGAAACAGCCTCTGTTACCATGGGTGCTGGGGGACAGAATTCCCTTCAGAAAGAGATTCAGATGTTTAAGACACAAATTGCTCAAGACATAAATTTGTCCATCTGCAGCCCCACTTCTCCACATGGCAGCAATCTGGAAGAAGAGCGTTCTATTACATATACCCCTTCTAAGCCAAAATTCCAAAGGGAAGGACCCACACACAGTTTTACAACCCACTGGGATGCAACAAACCCCCCAGGCCACAGAGCGGGTTTGGGTGGGAGACTAAGACTGTGAAATCCCTGCTCCACCAGAAACCAGCTTTCCATCAAGAACTGGCTGCAAGGAAACATCCCTTCAAGAGGAAATGGTTGGTGGGTGTTGCTGAGCCCAGGGACACTGTTCCCATCTCTTCTGGCTGAGAAGCCTGGCAAGCCTCACACCAGCCAACTCTACCAGCTGCTGCACCCCAAGGACCCCAGCACCCATGTCGCAGAACTGACGTGGAGTGGGATACTCTGGCTGGTGGCTAACTGCCCCAACCTTTGAATTTTGGCAGCAGTTCACAGGTTTGCCCAGACTCAGCTACAGCACAGCAGCTTGGCAGATGGCTCTCCAGTACCCTGGGGACCCACCTAACCTTACTCTCCAGACGCTACCCACTCCCTCTCTTCCTTGGGCTCCCTTCCCTAAGCCACTACACTGTACTACCTCTAAACTATGGTTAAACCAGCACGCAGCAGTACCCCAGGCTCTTGCTCCCTCTCAAGACCCTTGCAACTAAACAGAAGAACTCCAAAGAGAAATACATGCAACACCTCAAAACAAATCACCATGGCTCCCAGGTATGCCAGCCCATCTCTCCGTGGAGCTGGGATCATTTCAAGAGATCAACTCTGCTGCATGCGCACGGACAGTTTATCAGACATGGCCAAAGCATCCATCCTCTGCACCACCAGCCACATGCAGGGTGTGACTTGTGCCACCTCGACTGCCAGCCCCAACACGGAAGATCCCAGCACTTGGCTCAGAGCATGCCCATGGAGACAACCACTTGACTGCAGAGATGCTCCATGGCACTGGTCCATGGTAATCCCGCAGACAGACTGCCTCTTCATCCCACAGGAATCAAACCCCAAGCCACGTCTTAAATCAATGCTGAAAAAACAAATGCCAAACTTTCCCAGTAAGATGGGCAAAAATAGAAAGGACCATTTTGGGGAAAGGTGGGGAGGGGAAATACCCTGAACGACATCCAGGTCTTTCAGCTATGCAATTTGAAAACAGCAAAGAAATTATTGCTGAAAAAAAACCCAATAGCATATTCATTAGGATCCTTACAGCTCTTTTCCTTCTCATTTTGATGACATAGAAATGGCAATAGTAAATCAGATAATCTGCTCAAGCACCAATAGCACAAGAAGATCCCTTTCACACAGGTAAATTGTGCAACAATTTTATTGTATCAAGAAGTCCTAATTTTTTTGTTGTATCAACTTTTGCAGAGAGCAGTGTGTAAGTTTCTTGCAATTGTTTTTACCATCACCACTACCACAGAGAATTTTCTTACACTCTTTTCTGCAATGAACCAAGGCTGTAATTGAAGGGGAGCATTTGCACAGGGACTCCTACATGATTTAACTTCACCTTCTCTCACACCAAAGTCATACTCCAAAACCGACATCTCTATAGCCAAACTCTCAGCCTGTGTAAATCAACAGTGCTAGGTCAGAATCATGGCTAGCATTAAACTGGTAACATCTGCCGAAACTTATCAGCTAAGGATATGATGGATGAAAATGCATTTGGGGTAGAAAGAGAAATCTGCTAGCTAAATCAGAAAGGCTTGGATCATTCTCAGGAGCTTCTTACAACTGCTGCAAACACTGGGTGTGCAACCACCAGTTTCATTAGAAATATTGCATTCGACTTTCCCTGTTTTAATGGCCCTATGCACAGACAGAATTAAAGCGTGACTGAAGCAGCAAAAGCAGTAGTAATTGCAGCTGCTTATTACACACCCAAATCTCTTCAATAGCACATAGATGTGCTCTGCCTGACAATGTACTATCACCCTGTGGGATCCAGATAATTGTTGTTTATGGCACGGAAACAGTGCAACTGTATGGGAAGTTAGTATCTTCAATGAGTTTGTGTGAAGTTCAAGCTCATTACAACTCTATGTTTATGTTCCCACTGAGAAGCATTGCTATGGTCCCCAGTAGCAATAACGAAGATAATACTAGTGCACAGAAGCATTCCTGTGTACGTTTAATGTTCTAAAACTTTACAACTTGGGTGAACTCATCTCAACTCCACTCCTCCCCAGAAAGCACAATGTTACTACTCAGCTGGAAGATGCTATTTTTTTCAGAACATCTTATTTAATTCGAGAATTTGTTATGATTAAGAGAGCTTGTCAGTGCAGCAACAGTGCTGATTTGTTACACAGACAAATTACATGGAGACAGCAGCAAAAACAACGGTACAGAACGCAGGTTGGGGGTCCCAGCCTTGGGGTGAGAGTCCCAGTGCAGCCGCCCTGGTGCAGTGTCCCTGGAGATCTAGCAGTAATGACTGCAGAATCGAGTTCTGAGCTATTTTCCCTGAGGGAAGTGTGAAAGAAGGAGGGGGAAAAAAAAAAAAAAAAAAAAAAAAAAAAAGAGAAATAAAAGGAAAAAGAAGAAAAACTAAAAAGTTGAGAAAAAAGAAAAGGGGAAAACGAAAGAGGAAGAAATTAAAGAGGGAAAGGGGAAAAGAGAAAAGAGAAGAAGGAAACGGAAATAAGGAAAAGGAAAATGAAAAATAAAAGGAAACAAGAAAAAGGGAGAAGAAGAAAGAAAATAAAAGTAAAGATAACAAAGGTAAAAGTACATGAAACAAAAAAGTGTCCCCAGCTGTGCGCACCCACCGCACCCGCACGGGCACCCGCCGGACCTTACCGCATCTCCGGCTCCCTCCATCTCCCATCGCCGGCCGCGGCGGATCGCAGCCGCTCTCCCGCGAGGCCGAGCCGTGCCGAGCCGAGCCGGGCCGGGCCGAGCCGAACCGAGCCGTCCTGTGCCGTGCCGAACCGAGCCGTGACGAGCCGAGCCGTGCCGAGCCGAGCCGTGCCGAGCCGAGCCGAGCCGTGCCGAGCCGAGCCGAGCCGAGCCGAGCCGAGCCGAGCCGAGCCGTGCCGAGCCGAGCCGTGCCGAGCCGAACCAAGCCGTGCCGAACCGAGCCGAGCCGTAGCGCCCTGCCGGCCCGCAGCGCCGGCGGCGGAGCCGGGCAGCGCGGCGGCGGGCGGCCCCAGCGCGGTGGGCGCGGCGGGCGCGGGAGCGCAGCGGCGCGGGCCGGGCGGCGGGGCCGGGCCCTGGCCCGGCGGGGCGGGGCAGGGGCGGGGCAGGGGCGGGGCTCGGACCGGGGGAGCTGCCCGGGCGGAGAGGGAGGGGGAGACGGCGCGACTAGGGCAAGGGGGACGGCGTACACCACGTGCTCCTCAGAAAGATTAAAAAAAAAAAAAAAAAAAGGTATTATTTCAGGATTAGCGAAGCAACACGGTGAAAAACAAGCCGCGCCGCGTGCCCACAGTAACGTCGTTGGGGAGGGACACGTCCAAAGCCCGGGGGGGCTGGGACATGCCGTACTCTGCTCTCTGCTCAGCCCCTTCAGTGTGGCTCGCAGTTACCAAACTCAAAATCCTTTTCCAGCCCTGGGGCTTTCCTTCGCAGCCTGACTCCAAAAGCAAAAGAGCACAGATGTCTTTGGAGTAACCCCATCTGAACATTCAAAACTGATTTTTCATCTTTGTTTTTTCCACAGTTCACTGGAAGTTCTCTTGCATTGTCAGGTTTCTGAATACGCATTCATGTTGTTAGGATTTCTTTAACCAGGAAATCTGCAAGTTGTCATTTTTAATAGAAGCAGGGTTTCCCCATCAGCAGCCGAACTTCAGAAAATACCCCTAAATCTCATGGGCCTAGTTACAGGAGTTAGCTACACAAGTATCTGACAGACTGGACAAAGAAGGATGTTAGTTTCTGTAGTTTCAGCATATTTGTATTTTGTTCAATAGCAGTTGAAAGCTTCATTTCTTTTAACCCACCAAAACTGAGGATAGGCTTTCTGGAGCAATATGGGACAAGGACCAGGACTTAAAAAATCCTTTATGTTTGCTCCTTCCCCTGCACTGAAAAACAAAGCTTCATGTTAGGTAGAAGGCAAGATTGTTCCAAATGCTTTGCTGTTATGAAAGGCTTTGGACAGTCCTGATGGTAGAAGTGCATCATCATGAAGTCACCGACATAAGCGTGCCACACCCGGACACAGTGGCATCTCTGCAGCCGAGGAAAAAGCATAGCCCTGCCTTGCTGCCCATTGACCTGCCAGCGCACCACCAGAGCCCCACTCCCTGTCAGCACAGGGCAACCTCAGCCTTTCAGCTCTCCAGCACCAAAAAAAAAGGTAAAATCCATTTCTGGCAGGATAAAGGTAAGTCCAGGCATAAAGCATGATGCACACTGGCCTGGAGCTTTCCCTGTTTGGCAGTAAGACAGGGGTGGCAGTACCATCCCTGGGTTCTTCTAGTTCATTTGCAGGCTCCATCCAGCAGCATCTCCCTGTGCTCCACCCAGCTGGGCTGTGGCACACAGAGCTCATGCTTCTCCTCCTAACCAGAACCCCTCCTTTCTCACTAGCTCTGTACTTACCCAACTAGTGGTCCTCCTGCTTTCCACCCACGCCACACTGCAAGAGACTGCACTGCCTCCACCATCTGGGTGCCTCAGGCCTGATGTATCCTGTACCTCAGAAGCCATGCTGCTCTTTCCCTACAACTTCCCTTCTGCCCATCCTTCCCATCAGCTCCCCAGCACCACAAGCTGTAGCCATGTATCCCAGGAGCACCACAGGATCTGCCTCCTGCCCTGCTCAGCAGCCCTCCAATCCAGTCATTTCTGTCCTCTGGGAACAGTCAGATAAAAACCTGGCTTTCTCTCTCCCAAAATGGCTGGCATGGGTCCCTAAGAGGTCCCTTTCCAGGCCTGCAGGCACCGCCTCATCCGCCTCTGCCCCGTGTGCCGGCGCTGAGCCCAGCACCTATGGGAGCAGCATGTCACTGTGACACAGCCCCTTGACCATCCGTCCTTGGCTGACACGCTATGGACTGCAGTGCCCCAGTGGGGCAGGGTGATGTGCTGGAGAGATTCACCCCTCTCCCCCAGCCAGGGCTGCAATGCCAATCACGTTTTGGCCCCGGCAGGGTTTTGTCCCATCTGTTTCAGGCACCTCTGAGGCCCTGGGAGTCAGTGCAGGAGCACAGGCTGCAGATTTCCCATCTGTGCCACATCTGAGCTGGCTAACGCAGCGGAAAAAGAAACCACCCAGAGCTTGGGTCTCCGAGGAGGTGATGTTCTCTGCCTTCCTCCTCCCCAGCAGGGCTGAGGTAATGCCACTGCAAGACAGGAGGCAGCTGGGAGCAAAACCCCAGTTTGAGGGGAGGGCTGGTGCTGCCCCTTGCAAGGCAGCTGCCCATCACCCGGCCCTAGGCACCTAGGTGGCAGCTGCATCCACTGCACTCCAATTATTTTTTTCCCCTATTTGAGTTGTGTTACGAAGAATTTGACCTTTTCTGTCTGATCCAGGCAGCTGGCCTGAGTCACCCAGACATTCATGCTGCTGGGAATATGCTCTGTGCTATAGGGTGGGGAGAGGAGGGCATTTGCTAGCCTGGGGTAGGATAATCCTGCAAGCCTCTGCCACGCTGGCATCTAGCTGTTGGGTGGCTTCACTGCAAAGGAGGGTGATAGGGTCTGGCACCACTATCGTGAGATTTGTACAAGGGAAGGTGATATTTCTTACACCATCAATCATCATTTTCTGCACAAGGGCCATAGTAAATCACAAAACATTACTGTGAACAGGCAATCAGCAAAGAAATGGGGTGGGTTTAATGCATTTATGAAGGAAATATGTATTTTTTGTCCAAAGGCTTGATTTAAGTTTCCAGTTAGTTATATCAAAAAAAAAGATTACAGCAAAATCTGACAAAAAAATTGGCGGCTTGCTAAGTAGTTATGAGGGCTTGTCACAGCTACAGAGCACTCCGGATTGCTTAAGAATTTATGTTTAAGCATACAATACGTATTTTGACACAACCAAACCCAGAATAAAAAAAAAAAAAAAAAAAAGACAGAGGCGGACATTCAGCAGTCAGCCTCTGCAAAGATGGCAGTCAACTCCACCAGAATGTCCATCCTGGTTCAGTGGCTAAGCTGCTGCAAATCCCCCAGCCAGGGGCAGTGATGGTGGGGAGCAGGGAGTCAACACCAGGCAGGTGACCCAACTGCAGCCTGAGTGCTGGGCTGAGGTTTAGCTAGGCAAACGGGGCACAGAAAACTGGAAGTGATGTCAGAAGCTTCTGGCCATGGCAGAGAGCAGTGTGAAAGCACCACAAAGGATGACTGGATCTCACAAGTGGTGAGGCCAGTGGTGCTCTGGTAATCCTATCAGCTGAGATTGCCTAGGTAACAGTATAGAAAATACCAAGTTTGGGTATGCCATGTAGCAAAACTAGGACTCAAGGCAAAAAATTAATTATGGTGGCTTGCTTGTTTGAAAGGAGTCTTGAGCAGAAAACAGGTCAAGAAACAGGAAAATGGGTAAAAGTTATGCAGTGCCAAGGAGCTGCCAATCACCAGGTCACACTTGATCACTGGAGTGGGATCAGGGAAGTAAACCAAGCCCATTTTTCTGACCATACCACATGGATCAAACCTGCCTCTCATCACAATGTGGGGCCACAGGGTGCTTACCCTTACCAACAGGGTAGCACCTGAGTGGATGCATGGATTGAGCATCACTGCATTGCTGTGTCAGTGCCTGTTCCAGGCAGCTGGCACCAGCCTCTTCCCACCATTTCCTAAGACAAATATTAAACATCTGAGTCAAAAATTCATGGCTGAAAACACCTTCTCTCACCACCCTACCCCAATTAAAAAAAAAAAAAATAAAGTGTATGTAATCAGTGGTCTGTAAAGAATAACCAGTGTATAAACTCTGTAATCTTTTGCCTATAAAGGTGCTCTTTTGCTCATTATTCTCCTCTCACAAAAAAATTAGAGGAGTACAGGAAACGCTCTTCTAATTCATTTCTCCTCATTCAAAAGGCAGAAAACCACATTTAAGCCATCACCCAGGTACTCACCAGAAAACAGCTCAGGACATTGCATTTCAAATCAAATAGAGATTCTCTCTTTCCATGAGGGAGAAGATGACTAGCAATAAAAAAAAATGTATATGTATAATAATAATAATAAAAAAAAAAACAACCAGAACAGAAACACCATTATCCACAAATGGAAAGACTGAGTTAATAATTTATTGGATTTTCTTCTGTGTGTCTGTATGTTTCTTGACACAGCTGGGGTAACTTTTTTTTTCTTGTTTTACTCAGAAAAAGAGAGTCGTCATCACAACCCTTTCTTTCTGAATTAAGGGTGGAAAAGTAGCTGCAACAGGACAAGGGAAACAGCAGATTTGGAGGTAAGGTGCAGACTAGGAAACAACTGGGCACGTGTAAAGAGGGTAACCTTTCTATTATTTCTTAAGAAGAGTCAGATAGCACTAATAAATCATTATAGTAATGCCCAGGGTGACAGCCACGGTAGGGAATGGATTAGTGCATGCAACAGCTAGTTAGCTAGCATTGCTGTGAGAAGGGGTATGCTGCAAGTTGTGCTAGCATCATTGTTCTTCACACGGTTCTTTCCTCACAGGTTGTCAGGCTGGGTTGGCCTCACACCCAAAGCTCCTGGAAACTTCCCTTTTAGGGGTTAACTGACTCTTGTCTTGCTCCTTCCCCCATTGATAGCTCTCTAGGGTCTTGCCATGCCCAGGACTCCAGGAAACATAATTTCTCCAGACCTTCCATTTTGTCTCTAGAGATTTCACTTCATTCCCTCCTCCATCTGACATGTTCCTTGGAAGGAAAGGAAATGACTGACATTCCCTGCCTGCGGAGCCCTGTAAAAGGCATGTGGTAGGAAGTCTCAGAGGCTTGTTACTGCACCCATCAGACTTTTAGGATCTCCAATTTGACATTTATCTCCAAAAATCA